CCCATCTGGTTTGGGCTTAGTGGGACTATCATTTGTTTTTCAACAGGACAATGACCCAACACACCTCCAGGCTGTGTAAGGGCTATTTTACCAAGAAGGAGAGTGATGGGGTGCGGCATCAGATGACCTTGCCTCCACAATCCCCCGACCTCAACCCAATTGAGATGGTTTTGGATGAGTCGGACCGCAGAGTGAAGCAAAAGCAGCCAACAAGTGCTCAGCATACATGGGAACTCCTTCAAGACTGTTGGAAAAGCATTCCAGGTGAAGCTTGGTTGAGCGAATGCCAAGAGTGTGCAAAACTGTCATCAAGGCAAAGGGTGGCTATTTGAAGAATCTCAAATATAAAATATATTTTGATTTGTTTAACACTTTTTTGGTTACTACATGATTCCATGTGTTATTTCATAGTTTTGATGTCTTCACTATTATTCTACAATGTAGAAAATAGTAAAAATAAAGAAAACCCCCTGAATGAGTAGGTGTTCTAAAACTTTTGACTGGTACTGTATATATATATATATTTTAAAGAGAATTGCCATGGCGGCCGCGGTGCAATTTAGAAATAGCCCAAAAACCCGACACCCACGACCAATACATTTTCACCAGCGACATCTGGGAAATCTGCGAACATACAGTAGCAACACTGCTGTCGCAGCAGGGGTTTCAGCACCACTGATGTAATCCTTTAAGATATATACGGGACTGCAGCTGAGACGCTTACCTGGTGGAAATGTAATCTTCGTGTCCCAAAAACAGATCTCGCTCCCAACATGTTTTCTCCAGAGGCACAGAGTAGGCTAGATAATTTGGCCATTTAGTATTCAACCAAAAAACATTATGATGCTCTCTTAGATTCATTATGGGTTAGTTTGTAAATTCACTCGGGCTATCTACTCCGATTTCAGAGCACTCTCGTCTGTGTGCCAGAGCGCAGAATAACTGATGAATTAAAGAACGCTCAACACCCGTTGAATATGGCCAGTGTCAGTAAACGTTGGCAAAAAAGCATAATTCAATTGTTGCAATTGTTGGATCAACCCTACTCCTCAGCCAGAGCGCACTCTGAACGCACATTTATGAATGCCCATAGCGCACTCTGGCACTCCAGAGTGAATTTACCAATGCACACTTAATTCTATTTCCCCCTTCTGTACCATATTAATCGATTATGCAAACTAGCTAGAGTTTCCGCTAGATAGCTTCTTGACTTCATTAAATCTTAGTACAATAACCAGTGGTGTATAATCGAGGCCATTTGCAACCAAAATCAACTTTATCTCTCATTATTTCAATTCACAAGATATAATGAATGAACCTCTGCGATTCTTGAGCTTGGACGCTGCCATAGGACGTGATGCAACACGAGCGCAACACAGTCAGTATAGCAGCTTTCATTGATTTCAAAGGAAGAATTTACTCTGGCAATGCCGGACGCCCGATGGTTATAGTGTAGCAGGGCCGTAAAACGGCTAGACTGCACCCTGCAGAGAAGAGTAAAAACGTTCTCTAAACGTGTCAATGATCTCTTTTGATGCATTTTCTGGACTTCGCCACGGGGTATCAGTAAAACTGTTTACGGTCAGACTTGGTGCAGCATGTAGACGGTGATCATTGATGAGTAACTGGCCAAGAGTTCCTGGAAGCAGGATCAGCAGGATGCTGAGGTATGTGGAAAAATCTGCAGCTCATGCAGAACAGCACAGAACTCCTGCCTTTGTATTAACCACCATGGCTCAGTTCTAAATCGGCCCCTAGCGCCTTCCTACCCAGCTCACCCTTCTCCTGGGCACTTCATGTATACTGAACAAAAATATAAACGCAACATTATTTAAAAAAAAAGATTTTACTGAGTTACAGTTCATATAAGGAAATCAGTCAATTGAAATACATTTACTAGGCCCTAATTAATGGATTTCTCATGACTGGGAATACAGATACTGTATGCATCTGTTGGTCACAGATACCTATGGGCGTGGATCAGAAAACCAGTCAGTATCTGGTGTGACCACCATTTGCCTCATGCAACGCGACACATCTTCTTTGCATAGAGTTGATCAGGCTGTTAATTGTGGCCTGTGGAATGTTGTCCCACTCCTCTTCAATGGCTGTGTGAAGTTGGTGGATATTGGCGGAAACTGGAACACGCTGTTGTACACGTCGATCCAGAGCATCCCAAAAATGATCAATGGGTGACATGTCTGGTGAGTATGCAGGCCATGGAAGAACTGGGACATTTTCAGCTTCCAGGCATTGTGTACAGATCCTTGGGAAATGGGGCCGTGGATCATCATGAGGTGATGGCGGCGGATGAGTGACACGACAATGGGCCTCAGGATCTCATCCCGGTATCTCTGTGCATTGAAATTGCCATCGATAAAATGCAGTTGTGTTCGTTGTCCGTAGCTTATGCTTGCCCATACCATAACCCCACCACCACGGGGCACTGTGTTCACAACTTGGCATCAGCAAACCACTTGCCCACACAACACTATACATGTGGTCTGCGGTTGTGAGGCTGGTTGGACCTACTGCCAAATTCTCTAAACCAACGTTGGAGGCGGCTTATGGTAGAAAAATGAACATTCAATTCTCTGGCAACAGCTCTGGTGGACATTCCTTCAGTCAGCATGCAAATTGTACGCTCCCTCAAAACTTGAGACATCTGTGGCATTGTATTGTATGACAAAACTGCACATTTTAGTGGCCTTTTATTGTCCCCAGCACAAGGTGCGCCTGTGTAGTGATCATGCTGTTTAATCAGCTTCTTGATATTTCACACCTGTCAGGTGGATGGATTATCTTGGCAAAGGAGAAATGCTCACTAACAGGGATAAAATACAAATTGGTGCACAACATTTGAGAGAAATAAGCTTTTTGTGCTTATGGAACATTTCTGGGATATTTTATTTCAGCTCATGAAACATGGGACCAACACTTTACATGTTGCTTTTATATTTTTGTTCAGTGTCTGAAAGAATTGCTCAGATAGCTTATAGGAGAGTAATCTTTCTTCCCAGTATAAACAAGCAATAAATTATTGCCTAATCCCAAATTGAACCTTAAAGGAATAATCCATTCAAAAACTATCTTTTGGTATTTTTTTGTTATTAGTCCACTGTTCATACAGTCCCAAAATGTTTTAAATGTCAGCAATCGAGTTTTCAAGATATAGGACTTTCAAAAATAAAATTGTAACTTGCCACATCATATTGATGATACGTTTTGCATAATATATAATTTAATTTATATAGCGCTTGTCATTAGAAGAATCTCAAAGACACTTGAAAACAAAAACAATAATTAAGTAATTGATAGTTTATGGGCGGCATGGTGAGATTTTCCACACCGACTCGGACTGACTGTCTCAACTCCACTATCTGAGCACAGTCCTCCGCCTCAAAGTCCACGGCTTGTCAGCAGGCCCAGATGAAGCAGGCTTGAACAGGGGGGTTGGTGGTCACCTCCAGCATGTGGGAAAGGCCGGAGGACAGATCCGAATCTATTGATCAAGGCACCCCATCCTCAGCCGCTCTCTGTAGTCTGTGGTAAACCACTCCCTAAAATGTTGTGTAGCACAAAATATACAGTTTTCTACTTTGATTCAATGGCTTCACATAGATTTGGGGGGGTTGAAATGACATGGAAACAGTGTTGATCCCACCAGTTTTTGCCCAGTGGGTAGTAACTAGCCTTTCAGTTGTTTTACATTTACATTTTAGTCATTTAGCAGACGCTCTTATCCAGAGCGACTTACAGTTAGTGAATACATTTATTTTTATACTGGCCCCCCGTGGGAATCGAACCCACAACCCTGGCGTTGCAAACGCCATGCTCTATCAACTGAGCTACATCCCTGCCGGCCATTCCCTCCCCTACCCTGGACAACGCTGGGCCAATTGTGCGCCGCCTGTGAGTCTCCCGGTCGCGGCCGGCTGCGACAGAGCCTGTTTTAGCAAACCAACTGGCTTGCAGGTCTTGTAACTCCATGGATCGATATAACCAACACTTAATTAGATTATCTACTTTTTATTTTGTACAAAAATAATCAAGAAAAAAAAGAACCCATCACTGACTCACAATTTGCTTTTTGAAAACTTGATTGCTGACATGCAAAACATTTTGGGCCTATATCAGCAGTGGACTAATGAAAAAATACATAAAGATAGTTGGAAGTGGAATGGGATTATTCCTTCAAGTCCTATGCACTTGTGGAGATCTGAGAGGATTTTACAGGTGTTAGTAATATGGCAATAGCTCCACCTTGCCTTTTGATAGGCTAGGTGGAAGTTTCACCATATTGCTTATACCAATCAAATCAGATCTCCAAAAGTGCATAGGGGTCGATTTAGGATTGGGCCTATGTCTCCAGTATTAGGAAAGCAATAGGTTTTTCACCACACTTATGAGAAACACTCCGGGCTCACATCAGGGGGTGTATTCACTAGGAACCAAACAGGGTGGGACCTACCCAAATGTGTTTTCATTGCAAAACGCAACATTTTGGACTAATGAGTACACCCCAGGCCTAGAAAAGGAATGAGAAAAGTAAAAAGGATTTGGGATGACCTTTTTATTGTGGGCCATTGAAATACATGGGTGTGAATATCAACAAAGAAAGTTCATGGTTGACGGACGCCTGTACATTACATTCTAACAAAGAAACTGATGGTCACGCTGGCGATTTCATTTTATGTGTTTCAGTATTCCAACAGAGACAGGCTCGCAGTGAATCAACAGTAGGGACAAGTTTCTCCGCAAGGGGACAATCCATAAAAAAGATAAAGCAACTCATGACTAAAAGTTAAATTGTTTAACACTTTAAATCACACCTCTATCAAGGTCTACATCATTTCAATACAGCCATACAATTACAAGTATACAAGATTATTTAATGGTTTGAAGGAATACAACCAAAAGTAGGGATGAATATTCAAACCAACAAAACTTTTTACAGAAAATACTATTTGAAGCGATGTGATGGTACAGTATTGTCTGAGGGACTATCATACGGTAAGCGGATCTCAATACTCAGGAAAAAATCATAATAATCACAAAGTCTTTTCTGAACATATCCCAAAATAAGTGTACAATATGCACACTTGGAGAAATAGAAAATTAAAAGCTATGCAGAAGACATGAAGACCAGTCAGTGGAAATTCATTTAAGTGGAAAAACAGACAGATTGCTCCCTCTCTCTCTTGCAGCTCCATGGTAGAAAGAATAGTCTCTGATGTTTGTCCATGAGTTCCATATTTCTAGCAACAACCTGATGCCACTATGAAGGGAGGAATGGGAGGGGGGTTTATTTTTCAAGAGTTCCACTGTTCTTTAGCCAGCCAATCCAATAGGAGAAGAAGAGGGGGGAGAATTTCAGTACCTTTATTCTTCTCAATTTTTTTTCTCTCCAATCGTTTCTTTCCTCAAAGGAGGGTTGACGTGTGGTGTCATTAAGATACTGCTGTGGGGGTGGGACTTGGGGCAGGGCTCTCATTGGTTGTTTTTGGCTTTGGCGTGTGTGAGGATGTGAGACTTGAGGTTGGTTGACTGGGCGAACTTCTTATTGCAGCCGTCAAAGGGGCATACGTAGGGCCGGTCTCCGGTGTGGATACGAACGTGTGTGCGCAGGTTAAAGTCCAGCGAAAACCTCTTTCCACAGCCCTCAAAGGTACACTGCACACAGAAAGGAGACCATGGATATACTTTATTAGGATATACTAATTAATAGTGAAAGTGTGTGCAGTTAAATTCAGTGCTCAACATGCATTAGTCTTTTTGGGTCAATGTCCAAGCAAAATTTATGCATACCCTCAATGCAAGTTAAGGGACTTATTTTCATACTTTTGTGTGGTAAATTTGTGAATAAACCTTGTGGTGGTTTATATGCATAGTGGTTTACCTGTTGTAAACATTCAGGAAAAACGGCACACTAGACTACTGGAGAACCCAGTTTTAATACACCCTGGTGTACAGTGTACACTACAACACTTGTACACTACAGTGTCAAATACAGTGTACTTGGCAGGGTTTCTCCTTTATGTGAGTGTGTGTGTGTCTAGGTACGTACCTGGAAGGGTTTCTCCCCTGTGTGAACGAGTTGGTGGCGTTTGAGTTTAGAGCTCTCTACGAAGGCCTTGCCACACTCAGCACAGACGTGCACGCGAGGCCCGTGGGTGTGGAGATGCTTCCTCATCGCCGAGTTGTCCCTGAACATTTTAGTGCAGCCCTGGGCGAGAGAGAAAGTTCCGTTATTGAGCCATGTAGGACAACTTATGGTTCCATGGGGGCCAAGACGACTGTCAAGTCAGGCATAGATAGACTGAGAAAGAGAGACTGGGTAGGAAAGATACTGTTGGAAACAGACTACTTACTTTATGAGGGCAGGCTATCGTCCTGGGGGCGTCATCTTCTTTTATCTTCCTCGGCTTCATCCTGAGAAAACATCAGATAAGGAGGTAACTTTCATCCGATTGCATTCACAGGAAACATAACTCAAATAATATGTTGTCCATATACAAAATCCAATTAACCATGTTCAATTGCTAACCAAATAATATAAACCAGCACCCATGGAAGAGTTCCAGTATAGCTGAAACAGCCAGTTCCCTCCTTTCACTGTGTCCAGGTGCTCTATGTCAGTGTGTGTTGACAGTGTGTGTTGACAGTGTTCATGTGCGGTATAAAGGCTCTCGTAGAAGTGGACTCTAGAACTTACCGCACTGGGCTCTGACCATAGGGACCCGCAGAGTTACTGAAGGGGCTAAGAACACAACATCCAAACGGGAGTCAGAAAGAGCCGGGCCAGCTCATCACTCCCTTTAGGAAGGAGATTAGGCTATATACCTCCGATATCTACTACAGGAAAGCAACCACATCAAGTGCGACCTTCAAGACTTGAGTAGCCAGGCAACATGAAGAGAATCACAAATCCTAGCATCTTGCTAAACACCACTTTACAAGGTGTGCCACAAGAGCACATAGGTGGCAATTATTTGTGTGTCAGAGCTTAGGCTATGCAATAGTTTTGTGTGTGTTCATTGTACATATCCTTGAAGGACAGGTGAGTTTAGGCAGGCAGACCGACAGACACTGACCTGGCGAACTCTGCCAGCTGTTTGGGGTCTGACAGGTCGATGCCAGGTATCCCTCCAGGGGGCAGCTTCTTCCCCGTCATGTATTCAGAGTAGTCCGGAGGGGAATTTTCCCCAATGATCTGTTCTTCAACAACCGACTCATGGTCGATGTCTTTTTTGCCATCTAGGATACAATGCAGGGACTTAACCGAAAATAGCCATACAAGACCGGGGTACACCATTGCAATTTGAAAACAGTTATGTAAACAACAATACAGCAGCAATATTTCTACAATGTACATAGTATGACTGTGTTTTACCAACAGTAAATACAATGTATACAATCATTGGTGGTGATTGACATAACGATGAGCATGCATCAATTTGATCCCCCTGCACCGTTTACCAGCTCTGCTAGTAGTCAAATATTGTTCATGGTAGCCACATGAAGATGTCTTTACTAACACGCGAACGGAAGACTATAATTCCAATTTAACAATCATGTTGAATCCAAATGCGAATAAACGTTGTTCATGCAATACTGGACAAGGCAAACTGTGTAGGGTCTTCGTTTTTAGGAACGTTATACTTGTGTTGCAAACTCAACCTGATTGAGAACTCGCTAGCTGTAACTTGTAGATCATTTGTTAGCAGAGAAAAACAAAAATCAATTTTAAGCTAGCTAACGTTAGCTGGCTATGCAGAAGAAAAGTGCATGCATCAATGGGCGTAGATTATAAATATAACTTTTTTTGGACAACAAATAAATATATTTGGCCAGCCTTTTAAAATCTAACATCAAACTCAACTGGTGCTAAATTACAGTGCTACTGACCTAGATAATCACGGCTGCAGCTAGCTAGCTGTCCGCATAGCTAACGTTAGCCACCTAGTTAACTAGTTACCCTGGTAGAAAATAGCTAGCTAGCTACGCCATCGCGGCCTACTCTCTGGAGCCAACAGCGCGCTCGCTCCCCCAACCGCCGCCATCTTCGCCCCGCCGCTCTATCGCCATTTTTTAGGGCCGCCATACTGGTTCTCGGGGAACATGGCGGCGCCCAGCAACATCTAAAAACATGGCCTCCCTTCAAAACAAAAACATTTCAATCTAACTGACAGGCAATTCTGCACCGAAAACATCTAAAAGTGATCCCGAAGGTGGCCTGGTGAACTAGCCGAGTAAATAGACTGGTGCAGAAGGACAACGCCCTGCAACAAGGCCCCTTGCACAGGCTAACGACCAAGCACGAACAATGCGGGGAGCGAGATACACTTTTCGAATTGACAGATTAGATAGAACCGACCACTTACCCGAAGCCCACATTGTAACAGAGAATTCCCCCTCCAGAGTCTTTATTTGCACCTGCTTCTGTTCCCATTTTCTACCGCTTGCTTCTGCAGCACCCAAATAGCTTTTTTTGCCCGCTTTCTTGCCACTGCCGCCTCCCCCTCTCTTCATCCGACCCACCGAGCTTTTCCCTGCCACAGTCACCAAAGTCTGTTCGATGTACTCGTCTTCCACGCCGGGTGCTGGTACTGGGATGAGGATTTGATCCTCGTAACTCCCGTCCGCATGCATATCCGAATCATCCCCGCCAACAACCTCCTCTCTTGTCTGCACTAGGATCACTTCTTGATGGTGGTGGTGGATCGAATTCGGGTCGTCTGATCCCAGCGGCTGAAGTGCTATCATCGGCTGGTCATCATCGTCGTCGTCTTCCCCGACCACCGTAGTCTCTATAGTCTCCACTGGTATCGTTTCCACCTCTATCTCGTGCAGCTCCACTATTTCGGCCGGCATCTCCGAGCCGTCCGCCTCAATATACAGCGTATCGCCGGATGCCATGTTGAATTCCGCCAGCTTGCTTCTCACGCACCCTGTGCTGTGTTCGTTTGCCCCACAAACACACCCCCCTGTTCCCGTTCTCTCTCTCTCCCTCTACGATAACACAAATAGCTAGCTAACTCAATTCCGTCCCACACCACCAATTCCCGTCGCCACTATGCTCTAAAAAAATCATTAACATCGCGAGACTTCTGGAACAGGGTGTGGGGGTGTCTGGTGAGGGAGATGTTTAGACCAAAAATAAATAACAAATCACATATGAATGAATGCCTTGGTGAATCTTTTTTAGCTTGCTAAAACATTGATAAGGGCCACAAGGACGTTGACCAACTCACTGTTATGCAGAATGCACCATAAGACTTAAATAGTTTTCTGAATGCAGAAAATGACTATTGCATAGGGAGGGGTTTCCGAACTCAGTCCTGGGGCACCCTCTAGGTGCACGTTTTGGTTTTTGCCCTAGCACTACACAGCTGATTCAAATAATCAAAGCTTGATGATAAATTGGTTATTTGAATCAGCTGTGTTATGCTAGGGCAAAAAACTAAATATTCACCCGGGGGGGGCCCAGGACCGAGTTTGGAAAACCCTGGTAGAGGAGCAGCCTCCTCAAATACCTACTGGCATTTGGCCCATCTAATCCTATGGATGTATTTCATACAGTTTCATATACTTCTTGAATGTTCAATTTTACCCTACACATCTAAAGGGAAATATTACACTTGACTTGCGTTTGTTGGGGTTTCTATAAATACACGTTTTCTGTAAAGTAGGCTACTTTATATACAGTAGATGGTCTTTTACCTCTTTCCTTATTTGACCTCCAGATGGCGCTATATACATGGGGACAAAATCCCTCATAATCCACATTCCAGACAGTATATTGTATTGCCTCTTGTTATGCAGTCATGTATCTGCATGACCTTTCCTGCCTACTGACTGCAAGAGTCTATTCATATCAGGATCTCCTTTATGTAGGGCATCATTCAACCCTATACATTACACTGCTCTAAATTGATCCCCAATGAATGTGCCCCAGGATAGTATCATGTGTTGTTACAAAGTACAACTAAAAGGAACCGAAAGACCAAATTATGTACATAGTGGCCCATAGTATATGAATACACAGTCTGGCTAGGTGAATACTTGAGAATAAACACTGAATCAAAGCAGTTAAACAAGCACAACTAAAAAAACTGACAAAACTCTCACAATCAGAGACCACTTCATTTATCCAAGACATTGTTCACAGTTTTATTTGAATTTTTAATTTAGTGTGTGTCTTTTTTTAAATTTTTAAACCAGGAAGCACTTGGTCATGAAAGTAAATAATAAAACGAACAATACTTCACCATATTCCTGCAGCCAATAAACATTTTTAACAACATCATCACAAATACTCTGGTGTATTGATGTTTTTTTGTTCATAAGATTGCAATATCCAAAGAGCAATAGTTCATATACCACCCTCCCTGTCAGGTTAAAGACCTGTTTTTAAAAATCTTTCAGTCAGTGATTCCACACACACACACACACACAACTGTGTTGGCGAAAAGGATACAAAACTCTTCAAAAAATCTTGAGGTCAGGTCATGAGAAAGAAATCCGTATGTGCTTATTATTGTATTTTAAAACAAAACCAAAAGGAAAATTTTTTACAATATAAAATATAAAAGGCTGACATAAAATGATGTGCAATTATTATTATCATCATCATTATCATTATCATTATCATCATTATCATTATCATTATCAGCTATATCATTATCATTATCATCTATATCATTATCATTATTATTTTGTCATTTTTACTATTGTTGTCACTAAAACTACTACTATTTATATTCACACCATTACATCTACAATAATAAGAATAATAGTCATAATAATGACAATGGTAGTAATAATAACCCCAAACCAAAAATAAAAACCAAAACAATAAACTCCTAAAAAAAAACAAGAGGTTACTTCATTGAATTTAATAAATGTTGCCTTTAAGACTGGAAAAATAACAGCAAACATGGGTTACCGATGGACAGAAAGAAGGACAGAAAGAAAGAAAGAAAGAAAGCGAGAGAAAACCTAAACCAAAGAAACAGAGAAAATCAGTGCTAGTGTCCTCCATCCATCCTATTCTTCCAAACCAAACGTAACATTCCTGTAGTGTTACAGCAACATTGTCACGTTGCTACAACATCACAGCAACGTAAAATAAATAAAAGGTCGTAGTTCGGGCCTTGATCCTCTCCTTTCATTCTTCAGACGCGACAGTAGTTGCCGTGGGGATGATGGTTCCAAAATCTGGGGTCACATGAAAGATTATGTCGTGCTGATTCTGCTCAGTTCTTGTCTAATGGCTGGAAGAGAGAAGTGACACACAAGAGGAGTGTTACAGGTCATGTCATAGGCATAAAATGTGCTGTCCTGTCAAAGCCCAACAATAGTATATTAGCATTATTAGTTTCAGTTTATCTGTTTCTGATGCCATCTGGTGGATAATATGTCTCACTTCTCCCTCTCTAACAATAACAAGCACATTTGATCAGTTACAAACATATGTGTAGTAAACTACAGTCAATTTCCCATCCAGACATTCTCTGATGAGGTGAGTGAGGAACTCAGAGAGATAACGTACCATCAATGATCTCATCCTTCACCTTGTGCAATTCACGAACAACTTCCTCCAAGATTTCCTGTTTCAAGTACAAAAAAGTTAATCAGAACAGGTATGATACGTTTTCAGATTTACAAAGCGTATGTGCCACTGCCTGACTATAGGGCACCTTACCTGCTTCATTCTGTCAAAGTCTAAGGCGTCTGTGTCGCTGCTACTCCCCACAGGTCGTACCCTACAGAAAAGTAAAACACTCACACTTATACATTTCATAACATCTCTGGTATTTCAATATATTTATTTGACAAATGCACAGAGAGCGAACATGCAAGAGAAAAATAGGTGCACATATAAGGCATTAAGTGTACAGAGGGAAACGTGTACAGTCCTTTATACAGTTAACCAGCCAATCCCTTGATTACATAACCTAATTATGAGACTTATGTTGGAAGACTGACTGAGCCCCTCAGCTTCTCACCTTGATACTAGTGATGACCTTTCGGCAGAGTTGGCTCTGTCCCATGGCTTCTTCACTCCATCTGAGAGGGAAGGAGAAGAGAAGACAGGGGTCAGGGGTCAGGTGAGGAAAAACATTACCTCAACATGTCAATTGTATTGTATCTATATAGTTTATATTGTGTTGTTCTTGTGTAGTACAGTATATATTGTGTTGTTTTTGTACTGTATATATTGTATATAGTGTGTATGACTGTAGTACCTGTGGCGTTCTGTCCACCCCTGGTGCTGGGTGAAGGGGATCCGTTGGGGTCATCCTGAAAAACAACAGGAGGAAGATGTTGAGGTCAACTAAGGAGAAGTGAGCCATTCATTTAATGATGAAAAGAGTCATAAGTCACTGTTGTATCATCAGTTAGCATCACTCACGTTTTGGCTGTCTTCAGGCTTCTCTGACGCTGCTTTCCTTCTGGGGGCAAGAAGAAGCCTCAAATCAGGCCCTCATTCAGTTTGATATCAAAGTAGTGCATTCAATATGGCTGCCGGCCCACTCCACATATGACAGGACATGATGTTGAATAGAAAAGTCTGTTGTGGTGGTTTTACAATGCTCTGAATAGGAATGTCTGTTCAAGTGTTCCTAACTCTATGCTCTGACCTCCGCGCCAGCAGAGCATTCATTTCCTCCATCAGTCCTCCGCTGCCGCCACTCGTCCTGTTGGCATCGTTTTTGGCCCCCGATCCTGAAGAGTTAGAATCCTCAGGCTCGAGAGAGAAGGAAGACACACACGGTATGTTAGGTGAGGATAGGACGGAGTGTGCGTTACGTCACCTAGTTGTAAGAGGTGGAGCACAAGATAGCGGTCTAAAGTGGCTTCCTTTCCTAGTTCAGCTCCACTGATATGAAAGAGCTGGGCTTGGTGAACAGTGTGCTTTCACCCATCCTCTGTTATGAGATCAGTGCAGATGAAGGAAAGAAGCAGAGGAGGAGAGGAGGTCACTTTAGACTTTTGAGATACACACGCAGTATGTTTGCCTGTGCGTTACTACTATAAAGCTCATTACATCTTTATAAACCCTCATAGGATGCTCTTACATCCCCATGTCTATGAAGGTATTGATAGATTGTCTGTCTATAGATCATAGAGGGTAAGTCCATGTATTATTTTATGTCATGTAACATAGGTGATTAGTGTGATTCTTACTCTATTGACGCGGCGCAGTTTGGCTCCAGCGATCATGGCGGCGAGTCCCGTCGGGGCGGGAGCCTCCTCACCCTGTCCACCTCCACCCATGGGCAGCGGAGGAGGCAGGGGGGGTGGGGGAGCCCCTGCCGAGGGGGGAGGGGGGCCGGGAGGGGGAGGAGGCATAGGGGCACCCAGGGAGGGGGGGCCTCCACCTAAAGAGGAGCCCATGGACATGGGGGGCGGCATGGGGGCTGGGGGGGCTACTGAAAGCACACCGGGGTGGCCTGGGAAAGGAGAGCCTGGTGAAATTGAGAGAGGGAGAGAGAAAGAGGGAGAGAGAAAGAAAAGAGAGAGAAAATAAGACATTCTTTATAGTGTCACATAGTGCCTGAATTTGAAAGTGAATATGCATTCTCATCAGGCACTTGAGACACTTGATAATGCCAAACTGTAAAGGCGACTTTAATTTTTTTTTTACATTTTAATTTGACTGTTCAGTAGGTTGAGTTCAGCGTTTCCTCACCTGGGTTCGAGGATCGTCGTTCCCTCTCCATGTGGGCCTGCATCTGCTGTTGCTCCATCATCTGCCTGAGGAGACAGCAGACACACCGTCAGTCAGTCAGTCCACCTCCATTTTATGCCTGTCATAGCACAGTCAGTGAGATAGACAGACAGGCAGAAAGCCTTAGAGCCCTATTGCCCCATAGAGCAGGGACATTTGACACACAGTCAGTGAGTCATACAGCCAACAGTCCTTCAATTGTATTTATAAACTGGGTGGTTCGAGCCTTGAATGCTGATTGGCTGAAAGCCGTGGTATATCAGACCGTATACCAGGGGTATGACAAACATTTATTTTTACTGTTCTAATTACGTTGGTAACCAGTTTATAATAGCAATAAGGCACCTTGGGGGTTTGTGATATATGGCCAATATACCACGGCTAAGGGCTGTATCCAGGCACTCCACGTTGCGTCGTGCTTAAGAACAGCCCTTAGCCGTGGTATATTGGCCATATACCACACCCCCTCGGGCCTTATTGCTTAATTATAAAATGGGTGGTTTGAGCCCTGAATTCTGATTGGCTGAAAGCCATGCTATATCAGACTGTATACCACGGGTATGACAAAACGTTTAGTTTTACAGCTCTAATTACGTTGGTAAGCAGTTTATAATAGCAATAAGGCTCCTCTGGGGTTTGTATATGGGCAATATACCATGGCTAAGGGCTGTGTCCAAGTTGCGTTGCGTCGTGCCTAAGAACAGCCCTTAGCCGTGGTATACTGGCCATATACCAAACCTCCTCGGGCCTTATTGCTTAAATATACCACAGTCAGTTAGCCTACAGTCCTACAGCTCTACAGTTCTCCAGCTGTCCAAGGTCTGGTAAAATGATGGCATATGGTATACACGGAGTGTACAAAACATTAGGAATACCTTCCTAATATTGAGTTGCACACCCTTTTGCCTTCAGAACAGCCTCAATTCGTCGGGGCATGGACTACAAGGTGTCGAAAGCGTTCCACAGGTACGCTGGCCCATGTTGACTCCAAAACTTCCCACAGTTGTGTCAAGTTGGCTGGATGTCCTTTGGGTGGTGGACCATTCTTGATACATGCGTGAAAAACCCAGCAGCGTTGCAGTTCTTGACACACTCTAACTGCTGCGCCTGGCACCTACTACCACACCACGTTCAAAGGCACTTAAATCTTTTGTCTTGCCCATTCACCCTCTGAATGGCACACATACACAATCCATGTCTCAATTGTCTCAAGGCTTAAAAATCCTTCTTTAACCTGTCTCCTACCCTTCATCTACACTGATTGAAGTGTATTTAACAGTTGACATCAATAGGGGATCATAGCTTTCACCTGAATTCACCTGGTCAGTCTATGTCATGGAAAGAGCAGGTGTTCCTAATGTTTTGTACACACAGTGTAAGTAGCCTGTATGTCTGCTTATGTGCAGTACATGGACAAGTAGTGCTATTAACTTCCATGACAAGAGAGATACTCTCCCTGCTGTTCACTATGCTGCAGGCTTTATGAGCTTCTCCCCCCTTTCTCCTTCTCACCCCCACCTCTCTCTTCCCCCTCTCTCTCCTTTACCCCCTCTCTTCCTCTTCCTCTTTCTCTATCTCCCCCTCCCTCTCTTCCCCTCTCCCCTCTCCCCCTCTGATGTGAGAAGCATATGTTAGAGCTCTGGGCAGAGAGAAACAGAAATACATATTAGAGACACATATTTCCCTCTAATTACACAGACCCACAAAGAATACAAAATAAAATAACATTTTATGTGCCATCACAGCAGCATGATTTGTGACCTGTTGCCACAAGAAAAGGGCAACCAGTGAAGCACAAACACCATTGTAAATACAACCCATATTTATGTTCCCTTTTGTACTTCAACTACTTGCACATTGTTACAACACTGTATATACCCACAATATAACATTTGAAATGTCTGTATTCTTTTGAAACTTTTGTGAGTGTAATGTTTGCTGTTCATTTCTGATTCTTTATTTCACTTGCTTTGGCAATGTAAACATATGTTTCCCATGCCAATAAAGCCCTCTGAACTGAATTGAGATTGAATTGACAATAGAGAGAGAAAATAATTAATATATTATAAAAAGAGATAGTGAGAGAGAGAGCACACAGAGAGGAAGTGGAATTTTCCAGCTGCGTGTAGTGTTGAAGAGGAGATGTGCTGACCCAGCAGCCACAGGACTGGGAGATACATACTGTTACACTGACTGTTACCACTGGAGGGGGCTCCACACACACACGAACACACTTGCACACACACACACAAACACACAAGCACCTGATATTTTGATTTCCACACGGCACAGTGCTGCAATCCTGCCTTTTACCACTAGTGAGCGCTTCAGAGGTGTCCTCTCCACTGAGAGGTGATCAGATATCCATAATACAATCATATTTGTTCTGTTTCTGCTTTGGCATTTGGAATTGAGATGAAACGATAAGCAGAGCAGAAATAGCTCAGGCAACAAAGGCTTGTGTAATTCCCTGGGGGCGTAGAGATAAAGATAGATAGCAGAAACAGCTTGTGTTACTGTCCCTCTCTGAATAGGTGCTATTGTGCAATCTAAAAGTCCTGGAGCATAATCTCAAGCACACATCTGCTATTAACATCTATTCTCCACAATCTGCCTACCATGATTTAGCAGAAATAAGTACTTCCTGTGTTTAGCTGTCATTACAACTCTATCGTTCTCTTTCCCTCTTTTACTCGCGCTCTCTCTGTCAGACTCTCTCGCTCTCTCCCTCCTGTCTGTTAATCCTGTGAGGAGACAGAGGGAGAGCGAGAACAGAGGGAGGAGAGGAATAAAAGGTTGATGAGGACAGATGTCTGGCTGGGGGTCATGTGGGCAGGGCTGCTGCCTGTTAGCAGACTGAGTCCTGCGTGACAGACCGTTCTATATTGTACAGTCTTTGCTGACAGACTCACAGACAACACAGTGTGATTACTGATCTAATCCTCTCGTTGGGAAATATTTCAGGGAAGTTCAGTGAATGTTGTGTCTGATGTATTTCCTGTCTTAGCCATGCTGACATCCAATAATAAACTATACAACCTCATTACTGGAACTGCAGTGATCCTCTCTGTGGAAAACATTGTGTCAATGTTGCGTGGATGTTGTGTGAATGTTGTGTCAATGTGGATGTCGTGTGGGTGCTTTGTGAATGTTGTGTCTCGTGTGCTTGTTGTGTGGTTGTTGCGGGGTACCTCGATGCCTTACCTTGCTCTCTGCACCTCCATCTCGTCTGTAGTGGGTCCATTCTGGACTTGGCGCTGGACCGATGGGCCTGGGAGGAGTGGAGGGAAGGAAGGGAGAGAACGGGAGAAAAGACAGAGATATTTGTTACCAATTGTTAGTGCTTTATTGTTTATCTTGGTGCTAGACAAGACAGAGAGAGAGAGGGAAAGAGAGAGGGAAAGAGAAAGAAAGAAAGACAGAGAAAGAGAGGGAGAGTTGGGTGGAAGAGAGAGAGAGGGGGGAAGAGGGCCCCAGACCCCAGTGTGTGTCTCTTATCCACCTGAAAGGTGAGAGGCGTAGACCACTCCCACCTGCATCACAGCTGTCACTCACTCTCTCTTACATCACACACACATACTCCTGTTACATAGTAGTCTCGTAAACCTGACCCTAGGCAACAGAAGTGACTAGGGTCTGGTAGATATGATAGACTTTCTTCTTAACTTTGATAATAAAAAAAGAATAATGTTCAGACAGACAATGCTCTCAACAAATCACAAGTCAGACATGCAAGAACGTCGCGTTTCGAAACCAGTTTGG